AGAAAGAGAGAGAGAGAGAGGGAGAAGTGGTAGAGAGAGAGAGAGCAGACGAAGAAACAGAAGCAGAAAAATGGCAGATGCCCCACAGAGAGACAGAGCACAAGTGATAATGGTGCAGGGGTCTCCTTTGGCTTTTCCCCCTTCACATTGCACGCGAGGGGTCTTGATTTTACTACCCTCTCTCTCTATCTCTCTCATTTTTTTTTCTTTTATAATCCTCTAATCTCTTCATATATTTCCTGTTTATGATAAGATGTTGACTACATACACCATTCATTCAAAGTTTTTGATACCCAAGATTATTAGATAACTCAACTGGTAAAAAATGGAGCACACCTCCTTCCCAATTTAGATGGCAATCTTCACTAGGAAAGTAGCATTCATCCGTATTTTTTCGATATTCATGGGACATGTAATTGTACCAAAACCCGGTAAAATTTTAGGATGATAAAAAAAAGAATTCATGGTTGATTTTGTTTGTTCGGATTGGTTACTTAGTTTCAATACACCACAAAACAAAACAACGTCCACGATTTACTTCGTTACAGTGGATTGATTGAAACAATATCCGTACATTTCATGCCAAGTTTGACCTAAAACTTAAAATGATTAGGGCATGAAATATTTATCATATTGATCAAACACATGAAATATTTATACATTCTACATATTGATCAGACACCATCAATAGTTTGGAGTGGACGACGATGACCACATACATATCCTTTTTTAGTTTCGGTCGAATTTTAGTTATCGACTTGATTCATAAAAATAACTACGATGCACGTCACGCTTATTCAACGGCATGGGGATATACAGTCCATCTACAAAACCTCACTGGATGATTTTTGGTCGAATATATATATATATATATATATATATATATATTCATGTATGTGTGTGAATAACTAAACAGGATAACATATTATATACTATATATAAGTCATCACCATCTTTGATTGGATGTCCATGGAAATTATCACTAAAATAATCCAACTAGGATGTATATATATAAACAAACCGAATGTATATGAGTTTTTATATGACCATACATATGATTATTTCGCTTCATATCATCACATGGGTTCCATTTATGGTAACCATCCCCAATTTTCTCCAATATTAGACCAACATGAACAAAAAAAAAAAACGAAAAATAAAAGGAAATGAAACAAAACAACCATGTCATGCCATAGAGACCGAAACACATGCACTTAGATGGGACATGTGGGTGCAACCTACAAAGTTAGTGCCCTAAATCTTTTGTCCATCTTATAACCAAACACTTTCACAATCTCATGCCCATGTTTGCCCATAAAAAGTACTCTCTCATATTCTACATTTAAAGATAATACTCGTGCCCCACAAGATATTAATCCATAATATATATATATATATATATATATATATACTTGTGTAATGTATAATGCAAAGCTGAAAATACGAATTGTTTTGGAAATGTAATTAAACCTAACAAAATTTGAAAGAAAAAAATGCAGATTGTTATTAATCAACAGATTTCCTTTATTGCGTATGCAGTTGGTACTAATTTCCTCAATCTTGACACTCATCCATAAAAACTTGTCATGTAAATATTTTTCACACACACACTCATATGTATATATATATATATGTGTGTGCGTGTGTGTGTGCATAAAATGAACTTACATATGTAAACCCCCGTTTAATGGAAAAAAAATCTTGTAACTTTATATCAATAAAAATAGATTTAGTATTGTCGAATGGACGGATCATGATCACATGGAAGAGAAAATGTAGATGCTATAAAAAAATTATAGTCATTGCATGGGTTGGTTGGGGATTACAACAATAGAAGAAAGGATTATTTTTTTTAATGATTTTGCTTAACATGTCACAAATTTGTAACCGATCATGAAGTTTCAAGAAAATGTTAGGGACATGCATGAACCCCAGCTCAAGGAGAAGTATAAGTAGGGTTTTATTATCACACATGTTCTTGCCTTTGTGTCCTGTCTGTGGGGACTTAGGTTTTTCTATTCATTCATATTTCTAGAGGGGAACAATCGTTTTGCCCCTTCTCCCATAATTCACATTCTTTGATTTTGAAATGTAGACCCTTTATCCTCATACCTAACGAAAGCAGTTTATCAAGAATCTGTCGAGATTTTTTTTACTCTTTTTGCTGCCCTAGACCGATTTAACGTACTCTATTGAAATCGTGAATTCTCTTCTGATATCACCGTAGTTACAAACGTTTATATATACATAGAATGGTCCGTTATTTTGTATGGAAACTAAATTTTAGTATCTATATTACTTATACGTTCACACATAGCGCCCATAATCATTATGGCAAATGTGGCTTATCGGCCCCTTAGGATTTTGTGTAATGCCTTCGTCATCATAATGGACCTAACCTGATCAGTATGAGCTTTGTTCGTAGTAGTATTTCAAGAAAGTGTATAAATAAACCTATAAAGATTAACGGATTGATTGGATATTTGTGTAATGCACAAAAGGCCCATTAGGTTTGTGATTTTGTTGGGCCTTAATGAACAGGCCCAATATAAGGCCCTTTTCAAGTTCTTTTGCTAAACGACACCGCTTTGAAGTCCCTGAGTCGGTATTTATCCTCTACTTTCGCGTGCATGCACCTGAATTACGAGTGGCCATTTAAAAAGTGACACGTGTAAATGAATCTCTTCCCAACACGATTCTGCGTCGAATGCAACACGATTAAGCAATCTCCATCGAATTATTTGGTTCCCTTCCCCTTGAAAGTTATACTCCGTCCCAATTCCATCGGCGGGAATCCCTAATTGATTCTCTGGTATGTACTTTGTATTTCTCGATCTGTAGTTTACTTCTTCTTTGAATTCAGTCTGTTCTTCGTGTTTATATTGCGACTTTCGTTTAATTGATTGGTCAATCGATTAGGGTTCATCCGTTGTAGTTTGGCGCGGAATTTCAGTGATCGTTGATTGTTTTGCTTGTTGCAGAGCAGATCGGAGTGGGGTTTTTTTTTTATCACAGATAATTAACCATGTTCGTGAATCGGCTCTTCGGAAAACCTAAACAGGAGTCTAATGCTCTCCAGACATTAGACAAGCTAAACGAGGTATCTCCCGTGTCGCTCTGTTTTCACCCATTTTTGTTCGATTTAGAACTCGATTCATCATTCTCGGTTGTCTCCTGTATCATCGGGCCTCTGAATTGTTAGCTATTCGTATTTCTAGCATTTGTTGCTTGGAGTAATCAGGATAGGTGATGTTAGCCATTTCAGGGAGAGTTGTGTTTCCACGGAGATAATCGAGATCTTGTTGAATTCGTGTCTTGGTTTGTTTTTTTTGTAAGACATTCAGTTTAGTTTCAAAAAATCCGTCTTGAATGCCAACTTGATATGCGCTTGTGATTTCCTGTCAAATATATCTTTGCGGTGTTTAAGACAAGTGGGACAGTAGTTCCTTGTTGTTGGACTATCTCGTCGTGGTTGCTCAGCTTATTCTTGCTGCAGACACTCGAGATGTTGGAGAAAAAGGAGAATGTACTCCTGAAGAAGGCTTCTGCAGAGGTCGAAAAAGCAAAGGAATTCACCCGGGCAAAGAACAAACGAGGTACCACTAGGTTTATATATAACTTATATATAACCCCATGGCCCATATATATATATATGGAAGGGTTTGTATGGGAATGTAAGCATGTGCTCATTGTGATATTTTCATTTGTTGGCGATGCAGCGGCTATACAGTGCTTGAAGAGGAAGAGGTTATATGAACAACAAGTTGAACAGCTGGGGAATTTCCAGCTGCGCATTCATGATCAAGTGACTTTTCTTATCTTTGCCTCCTGTTTTCAGAACGGTCTTATTCGATTGTGTTCTTGATGGATCATAACTGTTATATGTTTGCTGTCAAACAGATGATTATGTTAGAAGGTGCCAAAGCAACTACTGAAACTGTAGATGCATTGAGGAGTGGAGCTGCTGCAATGAAAGCTATGCAGAAAGCAACGTATGTGTTTGATTACCCATGTTCGTAATTGTCATTTTATGGTCATTAGGGTTTTTGTCATCGTTACTGTCCTTATACCTTCTCTGCCAACACGAGCTTGCGTAAGATTCATAAGAAAGCATCGGTTTTTATTGCAGGAACATTGATGATGTGGACAAGACAATGGATGAGATCAATGAGCAGACTGAAAACATGAAACAGATCCAGGACGCATTGTCAGCTCCAATCGGTGCTGCCGCTGATTTTGACGAGGTAACCTTTCTCGTTACCCATGAACCATGTTCCTCTAAAAACCCCGTTTTCTCTAAGCATCGGGCATTTCCGTTCTTGATCATAGAAAGAAGAACAGTCTTGAGAAACATGTTTTAAATCACGACAGGATGAACTAGAAGCAGAGCTTGAAGAACTAGAAGGAGCCGAGCTGGAAGAGCAACTTCTCCAGCCAGCAACGATGGCTCCAACAGCAACTGTTCCCATGCCAGCTGGCAGGCAACCGGCCCGTCCAGCCGCCCAAAAGCAGCGGACAGCTGAGGAAGATGAACTCGCTGCATTGCAGGCTGAGATGGCCCTCTAAAGGTAACACCTTGGTTTAATGCTGCAGGGGTTAGTCCATGGGAAAGCTAAAGGGGACTTTGTGTGCATTCATAAAAAAAGGGAACAGAAGAGGATGTATAGAAGGATCTGAGTCTGATTTCATGTCATTCTGTCATGAATGTCATCTTCCATTTGGGTGTAACTTGAAAAAAAAAGACATTTTTAACACTTTCCTTTATATTTATATGTTTTTGTATCTTTATGACACTTTCTTGTTAAGAAGATTGCTGGTGGAGCCGTCGCGACAAGGCTTTTCGCCGGTCCACCACGACTACACGCCATTTTAACCAAGTAGAATCGAACGCCCTGTCGTTTCCCCATAATTCCATACGAAAAAAGTCTCCTTGTGTTGGGCCTAAAGCCCATTGTGAATATAAAAGAGAAAAGCGAAATAATTAAAAATAATAAGAATTGGATGTGGCATTTATTTATTCATTATCCAAAAGTTGGCAGACAAAAGTCCCGCCAGTTTTTTCAGGCGTCTTCTTCAGGAATTCTCTTCTAATTTCAAATTTTATTTTGATCACCCCAGATAGAGAGAGAGAGAGAGAGAGAGAGAGAGGCACTGCATTCTTCCGTGTTCTTCATCTGGAATCACGAATTACAATGGTAATAGCTCTCTCGACGATTTTCTTGCCTCTGAATTTTGCCCGTCGATGGGACCTGAACGGTTCACACAACTTGGAAGCTCTTTTTTCCGACTGTCTTTTCCATTTTTCATTTTTCCACCAAACCCCAACAATTGTTACCTTGTTTGGGTTGCTTTTGTTGATTCTCTTGTTGATCGTTGCTAATTTGTCTGGGTAATTCTCACCGAACACTTGTTTTGCCTCGAGGAACCGAAGGGCTATCTGGGTTTTTCATGTTTTATGCTTCATAGATGAACTTCGTGGAAGTAATTGTCGATAATCAAAGTCGTAAGATTATGTGTACCTGCGCGATGCTTGATTGAGTATGAATTTGGCGAATTCATAGTTAGTATATTGCTTGCTGGCTAACTGAAACATCGTCTCTGTTGTATTCTCTATTATATTTTCAGTCGAAGAAGCGAGGGCTTTCCCTGGAGGAAAAGCGGGAGAAGATGCTTCAGATATTCTATGACTCACAAGACTTCTTTCTCGTGAGTTCCTTCTACTACCTTGCAATTTTCGGTGCCCTTGCATTGGGTTTATAGTTTAACCGACATGTACTCGTTAAGTGGTCCGATGTCTGGATTTGTACTTGTGAAACCTTTCTCGGCAAGGTGTTCTTGCTAACTGGTGTATGTTTTCTGGAAGTATATGTTTAATGTCTGTCACAGCTGTCTCAGATTCTAGTACTGATGGGTTTGTTGTACCTTCTGTTCTGTTAATGTTTTCAGCTGAAAGAGCTTGAGAAAATGGGTCCTAAGAAGGGTGTAATCAGTCAGTCGGTGAAAGATGTTGTTCAGAGTTTAGTAGATGATGATCTTGTCTCAAAGGACAAGATCGGAAGTTCTGTAAGTAATGAGTTTGCTTGCCTCTGATCCTAACACTCGTTGAAATCTTTTATCTTGTAGCATTAAGTACAATACCAAGTGAGGTTTATAATTATGGAATTTTAGGTTTACTTCTGGAGTCTTCCCAGCTGTGCTGGCAACCAGGTGTGGTCTTTGTCATCATCTTCACAATGACATAACAAATATCGATATTGGTCTGAGTTGGAAATTTGGGTCTCATTCTCGAAATTTACATGGCCGCAGCTAAGGAATATACGTCGAAAGCTTGAATCTGATCTTCAGGGCGGTAAGAAAAGGCTGGCAGGACTTGTAGATCAGCGTGAGACCCTAAAGAAGGGAAGGGAAGAATCTGTAAGTATTAAACATTAGGCAGAACAAAGACTACATTTATATAGTTTGTTTCTTGTTTCCTGCTCTCGGTCCATAACTTCAAGTATTCTATCAGGAAGAACGTGCAGAGGCCTTGGCCAAACTTAAAGATGTCGAGAAGCAATACAATGAACTGAAGGTCAGATAATATTTGGATTCTAGCAAAGAGCCATGCATAACATCTATCAGATATCTAATAGTTTCTTACCTTTTATTTTGTTTCCTACTTGTGCAGAATGAGATGGGACAATATGCAGACAATGATCCAGCCACCCTTGAGGCAATGAGTTGAGTTCAGCACAACGGGTTTTTTTCATTTCGCATAGTTTCCTGATGGTTTATGTTTATTCATTTTCTCTTCCAGCATTAACAAGAACAAATGTCCTGTGTTCACAGAGATAGTAACATGTTTCTTTCTTCTCATTTTGATAGGGAGTGCAATTGAAGTTGCTCACCAAGCTGCCAACAGATGGACAGGTAAATATGGTGATAGCCTTTAAATCTAGAGCTGGTTCGCCATTTGCCTCGGTTATGTTCCCCTTATGTCCTAAAATTTCCACAGATAACATCTTCACATTGCGACAATGGTGTGGAAACAACTTTCCCCAGGCCAAAGATCAGCTGGAACATTTATACAAGGAGGTGTTGTACAAAATCCTTGCTATATACAAGACCCAGTTTAATTTTTCTTTCTCTGAATTCTATCACTCAAAATGTATCGGTTACTCATTGTTGCACAATGCAATTTGACAAGAAAAATGTTATTTTGCAGGCGGGGATCACAGACGATTTTGACTATCTAGAGTTATCTCCTTTTCCATTGAGTTCATTCCATGACTCAGATTCTGGAAGGCATCTCACTGGAGATGCAGCTTAGCCGCAAATTTCCAGCACAGTAAAATGGGCTGTAGTGAATCCTGAAACTTTGTTTTTTCTTCATGATTTTCCTTGGTTTAAAAAATTTATCTTATATGGTAAAGGAAGTAACAATCATCTGGAGTTGTTATCTCATATAGGCGAAAGGTCGGGTTATAAACTTTTCCACATTAGTTTCTGAGATTTTGGTACATCTATGCAGATTTGAATTTGAGCTGATTTGGTTTTCGTTGGCTATATCCTGTATTCTGTGTTATCCACGGTTAAAGAAAGGTGGTAAGGTTTTCATAGTTTTATATTCGGTTAGTAGTTTGCTAGGCCCACTAATCAATATCGTTATAGTGACAAGATCGTGGAAAAATATTATATTTTGGAGATCAGAAGCTCTGAAGAAAGATAATTAATTGAGTTGAGAAACAGTTGTATGCCAGTTTTTATATAATTCTTTGCCGCTCTTTTCCAGTCGTGAGCAGCACTTCAATGCCTCTGGGGAATAGGACAAACCGCCCCGTGGATATCTTTGCTTCGGAACAAAACAGCATTTTTGATTCATGCTTTCAGCAAAGGAAAAAAAAAGATAGGAAAAACATGAAAAATGGGGAAGTGAACCTTTCCTTTCGGATATTTTCGTGCTTCCTTGTCTTGTTTGTTTTCTTCAGGGTTTTGGCTTTTGGTCAGTTTTCCTGAAGATGGTAAGCTAAGCTTAGGAAGAACATGGCAGCTCTCTCCATTTTTCTCTGCTTCGTCTGCGTGATTGCCACTGCAATTTTGGTTCAGGGGCAAAGCCAAGCAGGTTCGTGAGATGAACCTAGCTTCTTTTTCTCTTCTTGTCTCTTCCAGTTACCAGAAGCAGAATGATGTTCTCAATTAGAGGTGTCTGTTTATAATTTGTGATGGATATTGCAAAATGCAGTTTCTTTTGATTATGAAATTGCATTTAGGCGAAGACTGTTCAGGATTTGCGTGACAACTCGTGTCCTACCTGTTTCTAAGATTCAAATACTTTAGGCGTAAAGGTATGTAGGCTTTAGGGACATGAAATTTTCAACTGTCTTAAAATTTTAAATTTTCTCTAGTGCTTGTTGCCAGAAAATCTTAATTTTTTTTCCTTTGATTTAGTATGTGTTCTTTGTTCTTTGTGCTCCTGGATATGGTTTCTTGTATTGAAAGAAATCTGAAAGTTTTTGTATATATCATCTATATATTTTTCATCCAAGCTCTCTCTGTTCTCTTGATTCAGGGTTCATAAGTATCGATTGTGGCTCACCCCCAATAAATTATATAGACACTGATACTGGTATTGGTTACACTTCTGATGGAGCTTTCATAAACACTGGTGTTAACATGAACGTGTCTGAAGAGTATGGTTACCCGAAAAACCCGGTTTTGCCTTTCCCTCTCGCTGATGTCAGAGCTTTCCCTCAGGGAAACAGGAACTGTTACTCCTTAAACCCAGCTGACGGAAAAGGAAATCTTTATCTCATCAGAGCGACATTTATGTACGGCAATTACGACGGCAAGAACATTTTGCCCCAATTTGATCTCTATCTTGATGTGAACTTCTGGTCTTCAGTGAAATTCAGAAATGCTTCTGAGAACGTTATCAGGGAGATCATCAGTTTTGCTGATTCGGACACCTTATATGTTTGCCTTGCCAACAAAGGTATGGGAACTCCTTTTATATCAGCTTTGGAGCTCAGGCCAGTGAACAGCTCGGTTTATCTTACCGAGTTTGGAAGAAATGTCTCCTTGGTACTATATCAAAGATGGGACATAGGCTATTTGAATGGAAGCGGACGGTATAAAGATGATATATATGATCGTATCTGGTCTCCTTTCACCTTGCTCTCTTGGGCATCAACCATGGCATCTGAGCCTGTTGATATTTTTCAGGATGGTTATAGGCCACCAGTTGAAGTTGTCAATACAGCGGCCTCCCCTGCAAATGCCGATGACCCGTTGGAACTATCCTGGACATCAGATGATCCAAATGCTCGGTTTTATGCTTTTCTGTATTTTTCAGAACTCAAAGCATTGAAGAAGAATGAGATAAGAAAAATCAAGATATTATGGAATGGTTCTCCGGTCTCTGGAATATTCGTCCCTGCTTTCCTGTATTCTTTGACAGTTTCTAATTCAAGAGCTTTCACCGGTAAGGACCATTGGATTTCTGTCCAGAAGGCCACAGATTCAACACTCCCACCGATACTCAATGCTATCGAGATTTTTACAGCACAACCATTGGATGAACTACGAACAGCAACTGAAGACGGTATGTTAATCTCCACCTGGCAAATCTGTCTACATTCTGCAAAATGATTTCTGAAACTCGATTCAACTTAAAACTTACAGTTATTTCCCATTGTCCTTGTTGCAGTTCTTGCCATAGAAAGCATAAGATTGATGTACCAAGTGAAAAAGATTTGGAGTGGGGATCCATGTTCCCCAAAACAGTACCCTTGGGAAGGTCTAGGATGCAGCTATAGCAATTCTCATCCTCGGATTATTTCTCTGTAAGTCATGGCAAGATAGGCACTTAAGCCCCATGTATGTTTGCACATCCAGTTGACTTTGCCGATGACATTTGTTTTTTCTTTTTACGATATGAGAAGGAACCTAAGCTCAAGCGGGCTAAATGGACTGATAGCCGACTCCATTGGAAATCTCTCGCTGCTCGAATCATTGTAGGTATACAAGCTATATACATACACTTCCAGCACCATTCCACATATCCTAAAGGAGTTGTGTATTGTTTTCCCAGGGATTTATCGAACAACAACCTGATAGGACCTGTGCCAGAGTTTTTGGGTGATCTGGAACAATTGAAGTTCCTGTGAGTGAGCTCACAGAGACTTTTTTTTTCTTTGTTTTAAGTTTACAGAAGTATTTTTGTCACTGAAACATTTACTTGTATTGCAGGAATCTGAAAGGAAATAATTTCACTGGGTTTCTCCCAAAACCTCTTATGAAAAGATCAAAGGCAGGGGTACTCACACTAAGGTCCATTTTCCGATGATAACTCTGAAAACATTGCCATCCTTCCTGAATAATAAGTGGCTTATATCTTTGAAAACTCATTTTTGTACTCTGATTCCAGTGTGGATGACCAAAACCTTTGTCATTCACGAGAATGTGAAGGCAAGAACAGCATTCTCATGCCTGTAGTAGCAGCGGCATTGGTGTCTGTGCTTTTGATCGTCCTACTTATCATATGGATCCTCCGAAAGGAAAGAAGAGCAGGTAACTTTTACTTCACAGACCATCAAAGTCGGTCGTTTCCATTTCATGATGTCGTGAAGGACAATTGTTTTGGATTTCTTTAGGAAAATACTCAGGACCACTTCTCGCTTCGGGCAAGAGGAGGTTCACTTACAATGAGGTTTCCAGCGTTACAAGCAACTTCCAGAAAGTGATTGGTAAGGGAGGATTCGGTATTGTTTATCTCGGGAGCCTTGAAGATGGAACCGAAGTTGCGGTGAAGATGATCAACGATACTCCACTTGAAAAGTCTAAAGGATCATCATCCCGAGGTTCCAAGGAATTCCAAGTCGAGGTCTCTTGTCCAATTCCAACACTATCAATTAATTTAGTCACCAGAGCAGAAAGTGAGGGTTAATCTAATTTGCAGGCAGAGCTTCTGTTGACAGTTCATCACCGGAACTTGGCGTCCTTTGTTGGGTACTGTGACGATGGTCGGAACAATGCTCTCATCTACGAGTACATGGCAAATGGGAACTTACAGGACTATCTATCAAGTAATGTCCAAATTATCATCTCTCTTCGTGACCTGTTCTCGTTCTTGCCTTCTTGGAATTCAGAACTTGGTGTTTTTTTTTTACTTGCAGGTGAAAACGCAGAAAAACTCAGTTGGGGAATGAGACTCAGAATAGCCATAGACGCTGCACAAGGTCAGTCTGATTTCATATATTTATTTTACTATTCACCTAAAAGCAAGACGGATTAACATGAGGGGATCATCCTTACCTTGGTTTAGTTTGCAAGTCACCTAAATTTAGTACCTCACTTACAAGTTACATCTCTGGCATTATTCGTTTAAAATTATGAATAAGTTCACGGAACCATATATATAAATCACAAACTTGTGCGTGATTTACATCTCAGCTTGAAATTTTTGAATCTTCTGCTTATGAAAATTAACACGAGTTCCAACTTTAGTACCATACCCAGTTATGAAATCAATTTCCTAGTAATGGTAAAACCAGTAACAGAGACTGTACCAAAAATCAATGTTTGGTTTATTATGGTTTATGCACGCAGGACTGGAGTATCTGCACCATGGATGCAAGCCGCCGATTATACACAGAGATGTGAAAACGGCAAACATTCTATTGAATGAGAACTTGGAAGCTAAGATTGCCGATTTCGGCCTCTCAAAGGTCTTCCCCACCGATGACCAAAGCCATGTCGTGACCGCCGTCATGGGCACTCCCGGTTATGTCGATCCCGAGTATGTTCTCTTACACTCTCTCCCTTCATTAAACCGGTTTAGAATTGGAAAAAGTCCCGGAAAACAAGAAAGAAATAAAGGGCATGTCTAGTTTTCCATGAATTTACCATTATTGAGAGTTTTTTTCTTGTGGCAATTGCTACTTGTATGCCAAGGTAAGATTTTTCCTGATACCGAACCTTGACAGGTACTACAATACATTCAAGCTGAACGAGAAGAGCGATGTGTACAGCTTCGGGATCGTATTGCTGGAACTGATAACAGGGGAACGTGCCATAATGAAGACAGAAGACGGCGACAAGATCAATGTAATCCACTTCGTTGAGCCTTTTCTCGAGACTGGAGACATCGACGGAGTTGTAGACCGACGTCTACAAGGAAACTTCGAAGCAAACTCGGCCTGGAAGTACATGGAAATGGCCATGTCGTGCGTCAGAGAACGAGGTTCGAAGAGACCGACGATGAACCAGATCGTGTCTGAACTGAAACTGTGTCTGGATGCCGAGAAGGGTCGTGGACCAGAGATCCGACAAGATCACGACGACAAGTGGATGACGATGACGACGAAGGACAGTTGTTATGGTGAATCCATGTCTTCTGGATCGATTTCGACTGGTTATGAAGATTATTCGATGGTCAGACCCATGGCAAGGTAGTGAATGATGACGTTCAATTCAAGAGAGTTTGATCTCATTTTGTCTTCTTCGGTGTTTATATGTTCGTGTTTGTGTTTTGTTGACGTGTTGGATGATGAGATTCTTTCTTGTATTACATTTCAATTTACAACACATTTAATTAATATTCTTAAGATTTTTTTTGTCTTTAATGTTCATAGTCGAATTATCTTATATGTAATGCAAACCAAATGAAAATACGACATTAAATGTACCACGTGATATTAGTATTGCAATTGTCCCATCAAACTGTTTAGGTTTTGTTCGGTCCTAAAAAATTCTCTGTTTCATTTAATCACGAACATCAAATAATGTTTTTGTTCAAAATAAGAAGAAAAAAAAATCATGAGACATAATATTAAAATTTGAAATGGTCAACTCGAGTCCAAAACCTTTGTTTCTAGAAAGAGCTTTTGAATTAAATAAGATTAAGTGGATAATGAGATAAAAGAGATTAGGTAGAAGAAAACCAAATATGGAACCGGTCGGTCGGTCCACACAAAATTTTCGCTCGTACATTAGATTTCTTCCTTTTGACATGACCCTAGGTTTGTGGGCTATTCACCCAACACGAATTTCCTACTTCGTTAATTACGATTTTGTGCTTTTATATCCATTGCGTATGGTTTCCTCTTTACATTCTTGTATATACATATATATATATCTTATGACATCTAATGTGGACCCATGTGTCCCCTTCTTGTCGCTTGTGACATATAATAGTCTTTCCACTAGAAATTTAGGTTAATTCCAAGTCCACTTTTAACACTTCGGATGTGAAAGCCTCTTTCAATATCATATTATGTGTTAACACATAAAAACAATGTCTTTGGAACCAAAAAAAAAAATCATCCAAAATGGCATATTTCTATTCAATAAATACAACTTAAGAACATTCTAGTCCCATTTTTTCTCCATTAGATATTATTATTACTATTATTTTACCGTATTGGAACGTCAATCAAATCATACATTTATATCAAGATTGAATATTAGGTAATTTTCAACGTTAAAAAAATTTGTTGAAATATGTGAGAGACTTTTATAACACAACAAAACTGTTGTTCTACCCCATGGATAAGTCAGCACGACTCGTTCAACTCGTCAAGACACTTTACTATTTTGATAAGAATTTAAAGTCTTCAAATCACATCACAAAACAATGCTAAGCATAAATTGCACTGAATAATAATAATAATAATAATAATAATAATTACAATGCCATTGATGAACAAGAGAGTGCATTTCACATGAGAGTGGTGTCACAAGTCAAGGAGAAACAATATCCATACTAAACAAGAAAATCTTTTAACATTTAAGCACATAAATACATATCCATCCTATACACTGAAAACTTCGCCAACTTTATCCACAAACAGTTGTCGCCATCTTTCTCCCGCTGCTGCTGCTGCTTCATCAAATCTTTTCCCAAAAATCCACATTTAAACATTATAATCCCATATAACATTGCAATTAGTAGTAATAATAATAATATGTACATATATATATATATATATATATATATCCGCCTTTCAAAGATCTAAAAACCCGTCATAATGATAAATCATTAAAATCATTTCCATAATTTGTTATCATATCAGAGACGATCCATGGCTCTTCCCTCAGTCGGATCCAGATTCTCTACTTCACCAGCTCCGAGACCCACCCGACATCTGGGGCCTCACCTGGATTCTGATCCGGATCCGGGTCGACCCGTTCCATGCAATTCTCTTTGCTCAGTCTCTCGAACATCCTCGCCCGCAGTTCACGACCCGACTCCACCCTCTCCATCGCCGGCTCCTCCTCCAAGCCCTTGTCCCATATGTCTAAATACCCGATCCCGGGTCGGGTCGGGGTCGTCGGTAGGCTCCGAACACCGGGACCGAGGACCGATCCACGTGGTGACCCGAACCCGGACGGGTAACAACGCATCTGCGTGCTCCAAGACGAGGGAAGGGACTTTACCTTGTTCAGCTGCAAGTTCCTCAGCGACGCGACCACGTCGTTCACCGAGCTCGACCCAAACGAACGGCTCAGAGACTGAGTCGACTCCGAGTCGGCACGCGGACTCACCGGCGGAGATCCAGAAACCGGAGAGAGAGAGAACTGGAAAGGCATCGCGCAGGAGTGACGAATCGGCGACGACCCATCAAAGCAATCGACCCGATCTGGGCTCTGCTGCGGCAGAATCCGGAGCTGGTCCGGCGAGTGAGCGAAGAAGCAGACTCTCCGGCGGCAGTTCACGCCGTCCTTGCAAGGCTGAGTCCGGTAACGAGCCGGGTGAAGCCAACACTCGAAGACTCCATGAGCGAACTCGCACGAATCACCTTTCCGGCAACCTCCCTTCCTGAAATCCGGACACGCCGTGCCGGAGTAATGGTACTTCCTCGGATCTCTGCGTCGAGCTTTCTCGCCGGGATGAGCGTACGGACACTCGGTCCAGTCATGGCTCCGACCGCGCGCGCAACGACGCACCTTGAACTCGTACATGCGGAAATGGTCACAGGAGTAGGCGTCGACGGGAGAATCCGGACCCGAGAAATCCGGATCGTAGTCAGGATCCGGTTCGTTCGACGGCAGATAACGCTGCAGCGCCGCCAAAGCCTCGAGCATGTTCCCGTCAGGGCTTCCGATCGCTGGAGAATACATCTCCGTCGCAGTGTGGTCGTCGGAAACTGGCCACGGAGGAATATGAACCATCGGATGAGGTCGGTGAGTTTCTCCGATCATCATTCTCGTTATCTTTTTCCGGCGAAAATTACATCCGTCGAACCCCTTTTTCGTTGTGGGAAGTTGGGATTGTGCTTGCTAAATCACTGGCACCACCTTTGCTTGTTTATAAACTGATGGGAGAGTAGTGGAGGGGAGGGTGTTTAACCGTGATGGGGTTAGTTTTTAACCATGGTTGGGTTATCAACCTAGGAGCTACTTTTCCACAGCGGTTTGAAGTGTGGTGGAACTTCTCCGTGACATGTCTGTGAGATTCACAAATAAAAACAGCGGCGAAAGAGATACACGTTGCCACTTCTCTGATGATGTGGCGTTTCTTCACGTGACGTTTAGTTAATTTCGGTGACAGTCATGTGACCGAGTTATTCCGCCCCTTGGGTTCCGAAGGCGGTGGAACCTTAGATACGCTCGCAACACGACAAAACACATAATCCCAAGTTTTTATCATTTTATCCTTTTATATTATCACAGAACACAGAATCATAAAATGTTTTCTTTTAATTATAGTTTCACGAAACAAATTAGAGATTTTTAAAACAAAAAAAATGGATATTTTAAAATTATTGTCAAACCCTTATATTATCCATTATTAGGAACCAATTGTGGTGATGTTTAAGGAAATAAAAAATTGAAAAAATATGTCTGGGAAGGCGAGGCATGTTGGAACAAATAAGAGATTTTGAGACATTAAAGGGACTCTTAAGCTTCTTTACTAATTTTAGAAGCAATTCCATATTCGCAATTGCAACCTTCCTCTCCTTTAATCCATCCATCTTTCTTTTTCCCCCCTCCTCATGCGTATTTGCATTTGCTTTAGTGGGAATTTTCATGGACTGTCAAATTCTTTCAATCTTTTGCATTCACTTTTCTTGTGAAAACCAACACTCTTTTCCTTTTTCCTATATTATTATATGAAAATTCTATGGTTATTTTGTTATTTTATGTTCATATTGATATTTTGTGTTATAAAATTGTCTAAAATTAAAGATAATCCAAACGATTCGTATTCTGCAACTTATAATACGATTTTAAATACGTAAATCTTGAGTGTTCGAATTTTGGATAAAAACGGATATTCACACATATATAACTATAACCGTTGAATCATGGGTGATAATGCACCGTTGTCTCATCCATACAAAATTTTTTAAAACATCCGAAATTATTTTGAATTATACGTTCGTCGACAACGAAAGAGGTGAATAAGGGTGAAGAAAGCAAAAACAAATACTATGATTAATTTTAGGATTAGAGAGTCTTGAATACCTTACTTATCTAACCCCTTAACTGTTTTTTTGGTAAATATAACCCCTTAACTTTAGCTTCGTCAAACATCATATATATATTATATATATATATTGTGTTTGGATGGCTATTTATTATTTTCTCTTGATTATCTCAATTTAAAATTATGGCCATTAGTATGTGTATGTGTGTATATATATGCGTGTGTGGTAAATGTGGGAAATAGTACATATGAAAAATTGGGGTGAAAGGGGGGGGGGACAAGTGGACGGTAAGAATGAATGGATGGATGATACGTCACATCCGATACATCTATGAGTCAAAAACTTATTTTCATATATTACTATAATAATAATAATTATTATTATTATTAATTGAGAGAAAACAGTTAAATATATTAAAATATATCAACTTTATTAGTGATGTAGAGAAATTCATACCACAATTACCCTGTGATATCAATTCTCGTGAATACTTAGCTTTCTCTTGTCATCTAATCGATATTTCAATTTCAATGAAAGCTCATCGTCCCTCCAATAAATGATCCATTGAATTTCTGATTTTATTGGAAGGATATATAATATTATATTCATGCGTTTGTTTGTTGGCGATATCTATGATTTTCTCTAGCACCTCGAATCCGCACAACCAATCTCAGCCACATGTTAAAAAAGTAAATTTATTATTACTTTTTACTTTTTTTTCAACATCTATTTTATTTTCATTTTTTTTATTATTGGCATTAGCTCCACAATTACAAAGTTAATTTACCCATTTATTAATTATCAACAATTACTAATACGGGCTATTGAAAAAGGCATGCCCTCTTAGCTTTGCTCTTTCTTTATCGTTCATTTCATCTTTTTTTTTTTTTGGTTAAAAATTCATTCGTTTATTGCTTACTTCTCCGAGTAACATTTTAGATTCCCCTTAATCCAGAAACTTCGCGAAGATATATATATATATATATCTATATATATCTGCTCAAACATTAATTTAGGGTTCGTGTCGGTCGGGTTGGATTTTGACAAAAGTTCGATATTTGAATCATGTGTTCAAATGCAAAATGCAATTAGGACGTACTTATTGTTACATATAAAATTTATTTATGAAAAAGACATGTAACTATCTCCATCGTCTGTCATGTAATGTGCACGACTTTTCCCGTCGTGGGTGTGTGAGTATATGTATAGGCACAAATGGATGTGTGTATATACATATATATACACGGGATATATATATATATATATATATATGTATGCGTGTGTGTGTGTATGTAGTGCACATGATAAGAATGCCACCTCTGAAGGAAGCATCTCCCATGAGGGATCATGCCCCGTGCATGACCTACCATTAATTACTTCTCTCAAATGAAATCATGTACGCATCTTGGACTTGGACCATTGTTTTTGCTCATGAAATCTGCATGGTCCCTTTGAACGCTTTTACACAAAAAATTGGATCTTATCTATATATATTTAGATATATACATTTGTTACATCATATATATTAGATATGGGCTTTATTCAAAATGTATAATCCGTGTGACTATATACATACACATACACATACACATGCATACCAGACCCATATGCCATGGATATGAGGGAAAAAAGGAATGAGAGAAAATGTTAAATGCTACAATAATGAATGTATACACACATAAATATGCATATGTATATAGTTTATACAAATATATTTAATATCAATACCTGATATGTAATCAAACAAAGAATGAATCATACGTTTCTCTAGAAACATTCATACAAAATTACAGATTCTTTGTGTATCATGAGAAAGATTGCACCACCAATTCCCAAAGGCCAGCCTTATCACGTGATATGTCCATCGAATCACGTGACACCGGCCTCATGACAGGACACGTGTCGTTTTTGGAAACGCGTGTCCCTTATCCACAGCAGTACATAAAGGTTAAAACAGTACTTTTCCCTATTCCTGACAAAAGATTACGACGAGTTACTGCAACGATAATTAAAAATAAAAAAGAAAATAAAGTTAAAAGAATCTCTGGCCAAGTCGTACGGAATGTACACGTGTTATGAACCTTTTGGCCTTTGACCATCGACGTGTCATCGTCTTCGTGACACAACATATCTGCATGAGTGGGCACTCTAGTCGCGATCTCGACACGTGGCGACATCTGCGCCATCTTCTGCATTGGGATCCGGATCATTTTGTTATTTTTAATTTCGGGTAGAACCAAATGGACCGGGTTCGGGTTTGGATACGGTTAAAGTCCAATAATTTACGGTTGTACAGTTGATTTTTAATCCCTTAATTATCGGTTGACTAAATTCTGGTTAATTGAATTTGGTGCGCATCGTTAATCTTCATTTCATTTTTTCCCGTGACTTTAGAAAAAGCTTTTAAATCTTTTGACATTTTCAAGATTCATGTGATTTTTTTCTTTTTGAAATTTATTTCGGTAAATCTTCAGCAATGCTATGTAGATTCGAAATTTTCATCTTACATATGTTATATATATTCCAATTATTCGCTTGTGATAGAAAGTACATTCAGAGTCTTAAAAAAAATAAAATATAATTTTTATCATGGTATGTGAAATACAATTTCTTTAAATTCGATTGTCGTATCCTCTCTAAAGTTTCGAAAGATTTTTTGTTTGAATACGAAACAAATTCTAAAAGATATGATAGAGAGATGTCAATGTTCTTTTATTTTTCTATTCTGCGTTTTGTGTTGTGTCAAATGATTCAATATCTCTATAGAGAAAGTATTTTGTAATAATAATAAAATTGCTGAGATTTTATTTTTCTATTATTCTTAATATCAATTTACCATAATCGGTAGATTTTACTGTGGTTTTATTTTTATATCAAGAATATATACTCAGTATTCTATGCGAATAATGGAATATATGTGTGTGTGTGTGTATATATATATATATGTGGATGTTTTTTCTTAATTATGTTAGCACAATGATGCTAATCGGATTCGAAAATGACCTTAAGAAAATTCAAAAGGAGTTTGGAAAAAAATGTAACTTGTGGGATAATTATAAACCATGACACAAGGAGTGAGGGAGATAATTAATAAATATATGGCTAAGTAAAGGAAATATATATGGATACACGTGGCTTATGTGACCTCGGTTCACAATTATTTACTTATAATGTAATTAAGCGAAGGAAATTAATATACACGTGATTAAGGAATCGACGTCTTAAACCACTTTCTTCATGTATATAGAATCAACTATTTTTTAAAAATACCTGGAATTCATATAAAAATCTATACATATTAAATCTTTGTATCTAATTATTTGGATACAATTTAAAAAATTTTAACCCTTGGTAACACCCAACCCATCGACACCCATACCGAAAGTCGTGCTCTAAGATTTATTATATAATAGAATCATAGATATGTACCTTTCTTACAAATCTCCAAACGTGGACCTGTATATCGATGTTATTGCAACAATAATTTGAAGTCATCCATCATACATTTGCTGATAACCATTTAATGCCTCATCCTAATGAAATAAGTTCCTATTTATTTGGATTTCATCTATATATAGATTTTTTTTCAGAAATCCAAAGCATTCATATTCTATCAAGTTTTTATTTGTCATTCTTGTCTTTATAAAATTACGGATTTTGATTGTATCTACAGAGTATAACAATATAATTACCATAATCAGAATGTTCATTTCTTATTTCTATATTATTCTTTTTAATTTGATTTATTTCTTATTAAAAAAGTTTTTTTACAACGGTCCAAATTAGGACACTAATGTTGGATGTTTTAAGAGAGAGAAAAAAAAAACATGTAGAACTTGATAGAAAGGGAAAAAAGCATTTCATTAATGGAGCCAAATCATGTCCCTTCCCTTTCACTTCAAAATG